CTAGCCTTGAGCTGAAGAGCTGAGGGACAGCGCCCAGGCCCAGAGTTCAAGCCCCACGACCGGACCCAAAAAAAAAAAAAAAAGAACATTCCTGAACAAACCAGGTTATCCTGCTAACTAGTTACATATAACTTACGTCTGATATTCAATCTGTATGGTGCTTTGTTAGGTTTTGTATTTATATTTTTTTCTATCTAAATAGACAATAAAAGAAAACCTACTTAAGTATGTAGTCACATTGCCACCTACCGAATGACGATTCCAAGTGTTATTGGGACTCTTCTGTTCTTTGCCTTCACTGTGTTCGATGCTGGTACATCATTAGAAGAGGTTTGATTTAATTTCCAAGCCTTCTCCTTTCCCATTTGTTTATTTTATGTATTTGTTTATTAGTGCTGGTTCTGGGGTGTGAACTGAGTACTGTTTTGTATTTTTTTTTCTGGCATTTTGCTACATGAGCCACAGCTCCTTTTACAGCTTTTTTGATGGTTAATTGGGGGGAAAGTCTCACATGGGCTGGGAGTGTGGCTTAGTAGTAGAGTACTTACCTAGCATGCATTAGGCCCTGAGTTCGATTCCTCAGCACTACATAAACAGAAAAAGCCGGTAGTGGCGCTGTGGCTCAAGTGGTAGAGTGCTTGCCCTGAGCTGAAGATCCGAGTGTTCAAGCCCCACAACCGACAGCCCCCCCCCAAAAAAAAAAAAAGCCTCACAGACTTTCCTGCCCTGACTTGGAGGCTGGCTTCAAACCCTGATCCTAAGACAGCCCAAATTCTATAGAGTAGCAAGGATTACAGGTATGAGCCAATAGCACCTCTTATCCCCCACACCCATTTTTTTTTTTTTTTTAAAGAATTGTCTTAAGTTAGGTGCTGGTGGTTCATACCTGAAATCCTAGCTACTCAGGAGGCTGAAATCTGAGGATAGCAGTTCGAAGCCAACCTAGGCATGAAAGTCTGTGAGACTCTTATCTGCATTAAACCACAAGAAAACCTGAAGTAGTTCTGTGGCTCCAAGTGGTAGAGTGCTAGCCTTCAGTGCAAAAGCTCAGGGATAGTGCCCAGGCCCTGAGTTCAAATCCTACAACTGACCACCTCCCCCCAAAAAAATTGTTTTGGGAGCTAGGCGCAGTCCTAACTACTTAGGAGGTTGAGAACTGAGGTTCGTAGTTCAAAGCCAGCCCAGACAGGAAAGTCTGTGAAACTTTTTTTTTTTTTTGTCAGTCCTGGAGCTTGAACTCTGGGCTTGGATGTTGTCCCTCAGCTCTTCAGCTCAAGGCGAGCGCTCTACCACTTGAGCTATACTGCCACTTCCGTTTTCCTGTGGTTTGTTGGAGATAAGAGGTTCACGGCCTTTCCTGCTCAGCTGGCTTTGAACTGAGATCCTTAGATCTCAGCCTCCTGAGTAGCTAGGATTATAGGCGTGAGCCACCGGTGCCTGGCTAGGTATGTGAAACTCTTATCTCCAATAAACCACCAGAAAACCAGAAGTGGCGCTGTAGCTCAAATGGTAGAGCGCTCTCCTTGAGCTGAAGAGCTGAGGGATAATGCCCAGGCCCTGAGTTCAAACCCCAGGACTGACTAAATAAATAGCATAATAAATAGCGCAGCAGAACTTCTATATATGACTCACAGGAACTGTTTGGCATTCTCCAGTAAAGTTCTTCCAGGAATTGCATTAGGAAGCTTTGCTTCTGAAACAGTAAGACTGGTGAGCATTATGATGGTTTCCATATGGGACTCTTTGATCCCTGAACCACTTCCATTTTCAGTTTTTTGGTTTTTTTTTTTTTTGAAAGTGTTGATATGGAATGCCACTTGTTTACTCAGCTATTTTTTTTTCTTTTTGGCTGCTTGCTTGCAGGGCATGTGTTCTACCTATGAGTCATACTGCAAAATCATGAAGTCTTAAAGTAGTATAAATTCTGGTAGAGTCTAAACCAGTGGTTCTGGCCCTAACCGACTCATCATACAGAGGCTGGGAAGATGGCTCAGTGGTAGAGTGCTTGCCTTGCATGCATAAGGCCCTGGGTTTGATTCCTCAGCACCACATAAGCAGAAAAAGCCAGAAGTGGCGCTGTGGCTCAAGTGGTAGAGCACTAGCCTTGAGTTGAAGAGCTGAGGGACAGTGCCCAGGCCCAGAGTTCAAGCCCCATGACCAACCAAACAAAAACAAAACAACAAAAAATAGACTCATCATACATTTTATAATAAACAGCTTTATTGAGATATAATTCATATGCCTTATGGCCACCCTTTTATTTTTACTTATTTTTTGGTCAGTTGTGGGGCTTGAAGTCTGGGCCTGGGCGCTGTCCCTCAGCTCTTCAGCTCAAGGAGAGCGCTCTACCACTTGAGCTACAGTGCCACTTCCGGTTTTCTGGTGGTTTATTGGAGATAAGAGTTTCACGGCCTTTCCTGCCCAGTCTGGCTTTGAACCTCAATCTTCAGATTTCAGCTTCCTGAGTAGCTAGGATTACAGGTGTGAGCCATCAGTGCCGGGCCCTGTTTTCACTGTTGAGCCATGGTTCCACTTCCTGTTTTCTGGTGATTAATTGGAGATGAGTCTCACAGACTTTCTTGCCCAGGCTGGCTTTGAACCATGATCTTCAGATATCAGCCTCCTGAGTAGCTAGGATTACAGGCATGAGCTGCCAGTGCCTGGCATGGTTACCCTTTTAGAAGTAACTATACATTGTTTGTTTGTTTTTGTATTCACTAGCTAGTATGCCCGTATATCAGCATAACCTATTTTAGAATATTTCATCTACCTCCCCCCAAAAAAGCCTATGCACACTAGTACTCACACCTCACTTCATCCCCTAATTCATCTATTTCTCCCTGACCAGTCAAGTACTAATCTTTCTGTCTAGTTTATTCTGGACAATCTATATATGTATATATACACAAATTCTATAGTCAATTATGTAGATTGTCCAGAATATATCTATGTATATCTATGTATGTGTATATATATATTGGGTCCAGTCATGGGGCCTGAACTCTGGGCCTGTGCGCTGTCCCTCAGCTCTTCAGCTCAAGGCTAGCACTCTACCACTTGAGCCCAGCGCCACTTCCGGCGTTTTTCTTTTTGCTTATGTGGTGCTGAGGAATTGAACCCAGGGCCTCAAGCATGCAAGGCAAGCACTCTACCACTGAGCCACCTTCCCAGCCCCAGGAGCTGGGTTTTTATGATCAAGAGCTTTTATGACAAAGCCTAGTACCCTACCAGTGGAGCCATAGCTCAACTTCCGGTTTTTTGTTAGTTAATTAAAGATTCTCACTGAGTTTTCTGCCTGGGTTGGCTTCAGACTACAATCCTCAGATCTTAACCTCCTGATTAGGTAAGATTACAGGCATGAGCCACTGGAGCCTGGCTACAAGTTACTTTTTTCCCCCTTGGTCGTGGGGCTTGAACTCGGGGCCAGGGTACTGTCCCTGAGCTCTTTTGCTCAAGGTTAGTGCTGTACCACTTTGACCCTCAGCACCACTAACATATGAACACACACACACACATATTTTTCTCAGTCCTGGGGCTTGAACTCAGGTCCTGGGCTCTATCCTTGAGCCTCTCTGTGGGCAAGGCTAGCACTCTACCACTTGAGCCACATTACCACTTCCAGCTTTTTCTGAGTAGTTTGGGGATAAGAGTCTCACGGACTTTGCTGCCCTTGGATGACTTTGAACCATGATCTTCAGACCATAGCCCCCTGAGTAGCTAGCATTACAGGTGTGAGCCACTGATGCCCGGCATGATCCACTTTTACATAGTGGTCTCAACAGATCCATGACTGAGACCCTCATCGTTCAGGTCATGGATCTTATGTATATTCCCATCAATGAAAGTGGAACTTGAAAATTGCTCATTTTATGTTGTTGTTGGTTGTAGGGCCTGAATTTTGGGTCTGGGTGCTGCCCCTCAGCTCTTCAGCTCAAAGGTAGCACTCTACCGCTTGAGCCACAGGGCCACTTCAGGCTTTTCCTGCTTATGTGGTGCTGAGGAATTGAACCCAGGAACTCATGCATGGGAGGCAAGCACTCTACCACTTGAGCCGCCTTCCCGGCCCATTTATGCTTTTAAAAATTTTCAATGTTGAATTTTTTCATTTATGTTTGTGTGTGTGTATGTATGTGTGTGTCAGTGTTGAGGCTTGAACTCAGGGCCTGAGCTCTTTGAGTTCTTTAATATTTGAGCCACAGCTCCACTGACAGCTTTTTGGTGGGTTAATTAGTGATAAGGTCCCATGGACTGGCTTTGAACCATGATTCTCAGAACTTAGCCTCCTGAGTGGCTAGGATTACAGGTCTTAGCCAGTAGTGCCCAGCTTCATTCTGTTTTGTTTGTTTGTTTGTTGTTGTTTTTGTCAGTCCTGGGTCTTGAACTCTGGGCCTGGGCGCTGTTCCTGAGCTCTTCAGTTCAGTGCTAGTACTCTACCACTTGAGCCACAGCACCACTTCTGGTTTTTGAGTGGTTTATTGGAGATAAGAGTCTCACAGGAGGACTGGGAAGTTGGCTCAGTGGTAAAGTGCTTGCCTTGCATGCCTGAGGCCCTGGGTTCTATTCCTCAGCACCACATAAGCAAAAAGAAAAAGCCGGAAGTGGCACTGTGGCTCAAGTGTAGAGCGCTAGCCTTGAGCTGAAGAGCTGAGGGACAGCGCCCAGGCCCAGAGTTCAGGCCCCATGACTGGACCCCCCCCCCCAAAAAAAAAGAGTCTCACAGGAGCCGGGCGCTGTACTCAGGAGGTTGAGATTTGAGGATCCAGGTTCAAAGCCAGCCTGGGCAGGAGAGGCCGTGAAACTCTTATCTCCCAAAACCACCAGAATACCAGAAGTGACACTGTGTCTCAAGTGGTAGAGCTCTAGCCTGAGCTGAAGAGCTGAGGGACAGCACCCAGGCCCAGAGTTCAAGACCTACAACCAAAAAAAAAGAGAGAGAGAGAGAGAGACAGATAAGAGTCTCATGGAGTTTCCTGCCTGGGCTGGCTTTGAACTGGGATCCTCAGATCTCAGCCTCCTAAATAGCTAGGATTACAGGCGTGAGCCACTGGCGCCTGGCCAGCTGATTTTTTTCTTTTTATATGTTTTCTTTAATCCTTTGTCTTTCATTTTATCATCTGCCTTCACAGATGTGAATTTTAAATAGGAATGTAAAATTCACAGCACAAATCTAGCCCATCTTTATTTTTCTTTCTTTCTACAGATGTAGTTTTGCATACTAAATATGTCTTTTTATTTCCGTTCTTTTCAGTGTGGGATATAAGGCCAAAAATGACAGCTCAGAATGAGCCTAAAGAAGAGCCAACCTGTGTAGTAGTTATGGAAAGATTTATGAGGGAGGATTCCTGTTCCTGCATTCTAGGTAACAGCTGGGATTCTGAGAACCAAGAGAAACATTTGAGGCAATCTCCTTTAACTCAAAATAATAGAGGGGCTCAGGAATCAACTTGTGAATATCTTGGTTTTGGGGAGCATTTGAGTGTAAGCTCAGGTCTTCTATCAACTCAGAGAGTTCCTACAACAAATGGCTTCTATGTTCCTAAGTCAGATGTTAAAATTTTAGATTGTGACCAATCCTTACACAGTTTTTCCCAAAGTTACATAGCCCAGAGAACTGCTGAACATGATTGTGGAAAAGCCTTCCACCTTTCCATGGAAACTCTACAACTTAGAAGAAATCAAATGAGAGACAAATCCTATAAATATATTGAAGGTGCTAAGTCTTTCAACCATTGTACCACCCTTGGCAATCAAAAAATAATGAAACAAGGCAAGAAACTTTACAAAAGTAAGGACTCTGAGGACATCTTTGCTCTGAGCTCCTCTCCTGATGAAAACAGGAGTCACCCCATTGAGAAGCCATATAAATGTGGTCAGTGTGGCAAATACTTCAAAAGGAACTCTTCTCTTGTTCTGCATCACCGGACTCACACTGGAGAGAAACCTTATACCTGTAATGAGTGTGGAAAATCCTTTTCTAAGAACTACAATCTAATTGTACATCAGAGGATCCACACAGGAGAGAAGCCCTATAAATGTAGTAAATGTGGAAAAGCTTTTAGTGACGGGTCTGCTCTGACACAACACCAGAGGATCCACACGGGGGAAAAACCTTATGAATGTCTAGAATGTGGAAAAACTTTCAACCGAAATTCATCCCTGATTTTGCATCAAAGAACTCATACTGGAGAAAAACCATATCGATGTAATGAGTGTGGGAAACCCTTTACAGACATATCCCACCTCACCGTGCACCTCAGAATCCACACTGGAGAGAAGCCTTATGAGTGTTCCAGATGTGGAAAGGCTTTCCGGGATGGGTCATACCTCACACAGCACGAGAGGACTCACACTGGAGAGAAGCCCTTTGAATGTATGCAGTGTGGGAAATCATTCAATCGCAACTCTCACCTCATTGTACATCAAAAAATCCATTCTGGAGAAAAACCCTATGAATGTAAAGAATGCGGGAAAACATTCATTGAGAGTGCCTATCTCATCAGACACCAGAGAATTCACACAGGTGAGAAGCCCTTTGGCTGTAACCAATGTCATAAAGTGTTTAGGAACATTGCTGGTCTCATCCGGCACCAAAGGACTCACACTGGTGAGAAACCCTATGAGTGTAATCAGTGTGGCAGAGCCTTCAGGGACAGCTCCTGCCTGACCAAGCACCAGAGAATTCACACTAAGGAGACTCCTTACCAGTGTGTGCAGTGCGGGAAGTCCTTCAAGCAGAATTCTCACCTGACAGTACATCAGAGGATTCACAACCAAGAGGGTCCAAGACAGTGTCCTCAGTGTGGGAAAATGTTCAGAAGGAACTCGTCCCTTGTTCGGCATCAGAGAATGCACCGTGAAGAGCAGCCCATGGGAACAAAATGAATGTGGGCCATAAACACCTGGCTGCAGGCTCTGTGTCTTCAGATGCTAGTGACTCTTCCTTCTCACCGGAAAGGAACCCTTCAGGCTATGGAGAGGACTGATGATTGAGACATTCTGTAGCATGATTAAATCTATCATTAGGGAACTCCTGGAGACAACAGTAGATGATGATAATTGTGGAAAAGGCTTCAGGGATGATTCAGCCTCTACCAGACACGATAGTGCAAACACTGGAATAAGGCCTAGAATGTGGGGAAGATGCTTGCCTGGAGATATCTACCAACCTTAATACAAGGATGCTTGAACTGGAAAGAACCTATGTAGGCATTGAGTAAGTACTTAGTTGAATCCTTTAATTGTGAGTATCCAGCTTGTACATAAGCAAACACTGAATCACATCTGGTAAGTATAATCAGGAAGAGAATCTTAAGCAGGAGCTCTTACTATCAGCAAAGACATATTGGTGAGAGGTTTAGCACAGGGCTCCACTCTACAGAAACCACAGGATGATAACTCGAATGCTGTTTGAATGAGTTTCCATGTTACAGTTCTGTCAGAACACCAAGGACTCATTTTTAAATGGAAAGTGCATAAAAAGTTGTTTGAGAATGAACACTGAAGTTGTTCCTCTTAAGGCTAAAAGGAAAAAGGCTTCTAAGGGAAAAAAAATCATTGCTTTAGCTGTTGAAAAATAGTTAACTTTATTTCCCCTACCATCATTGTTCATTTAGGGTACTTTTCTTAAAAATTCAACCACTCTGAATCATGTTTATAAAAGTTTTGCAGCAAAAATGAGGCATAAGAGTAATTGTCATTACAAGCATGGAAAGATATGTGCACACATGGATGTAGTTTAGAAGTGGATGATAGAGAAATAAATAAGTGAACTATTAGGGAACTACAATTGTGTATGGTTTTTCCTTTATTATAATATCATATGTTGGTGGCATAATAACTGGATATTGAACAACAGTGTGAAGCTCCAAACAGGTGAATCTGGATCTTATTTATTTCGGGATGGGCTTGATCAGGACTACTGGATGCTGTATGCATCCAGTAGTATGTCCCAACCCAGACTTAGATCCCACAGCCTGAATTACTTCTTTCTTTAGAATGTGAAATGTTATTTTACAGTGACCCTAGCATGTCTCTTCTGAAGCAGTGTAGTGCTGTGAGAGGGAAAGCCAGATAAGCTGGTTGATGGCCTCAAAGTTCTGGTAGTGCCCTTCCCCGCAGCTTCTGACTTGACCTTGCCTTGTATTTCCTGACTGCTACTGAGAGAGAGTCAGAGTGAAGCCCACTTTTAGCTCATTGAGGCTGTGTGGAGTAGAAGCTGTCATATACTTCAGATTCTCAGTGTGGGTGCCTTCCCTGATAAGGACCAGTCATCATACAAGCCCAAGGAGGGCAACCTACTCCCCAGCTGCCTTCACTGTAGCCTGGCTGTAGTTCTTTTTTTTTTTTTCCCCCAGCCCTGGGGCTTGTACTCAGGGCCTGGGCACTGTCCCTGAGCTTCTTTTGCTCAAGACTAGCGCTCTACCACTTGAGCCACAGTGCCATTTCCAACTTTTTTTTTGTGTATGTAGTATTGAGAAATTGAACCCAGGGCTTCATGCATGCTAGGCAAGCACTCTACCACTAAGCCACCTTCCCAGCCCTGTCCTGTAGTTCTTGAATGTGCTGACAAACTTTGGGAAGGTTGGTTGGTTGATATGTATAAGTACCCTTTTCTTTCTGGATAGGTGGTCTTTTCACCAGGATCTTTTTTTTTTTTTTTTTGGTCCGGTTGTGGGGCCTGAACTCTGGGCCTGAGCACTGTCCCTCAGCTCTTCAGCTCAAGGCTAGTGCCCTACCACTTGAGCCACAGCGCCACTTCCGGCTTTTTTCGTTTTGCTTATATGGTGCTGAGGAATCGAACCCAGGGCCTCAGGAATGCAAGGCAAGCGCTATACCACTGAGCCAACTTCCCAGCTCCCTTCACCAGGATCTTGAAGGGAGAATAAGAGATTCCAAGTTCTGAGATGCCATCTCTACTTGGTGCATTCTGGGAACTTAACAGAAGCCTAGCTACCCATGCTCTTCCAGGCTTGGTACATTGCCCAGGTAGTGGCAACTTCAGGAAGACAAAAATGCCACATGAGTTTGCTTATCTCATCTAGTCCATTCCTCTCCAGGGTCTTTCCTTAGATGCCTGAGTGTTTGCTTGCTAAAGAAACTGGAGGAGAAGAGAAGAGGGAGAGAAAAGGAAGAAGGCAGAGGTATATAGAAATGTATATGGCCCCAGACTGCATAAACAGTTGCTGAGTCCCTAGTATCTTGGGAAGAAGTAGAATAGCCCTTGTGCCCCCAAAGTAACCACTAGCCTGACTGTAACCCAGTTTTGCACATATGGTGTAATATATATATATATGTATGTATAGATATATGAACGTATATATAATTTTTGTTGTTGGTGGTGGTTGTGGGGCTTGAACTCTGGGCCTGGGCACTGTCCCTCAGTTCTTCAGCTCAAGGCTAGCACTTTTCCATTTGAGCCATAGCACCACTTCTGGCTTTTTCTGTTTATGTGGTGCTAAGGAATCGAACCCCAGGGCCTCATGCATGTGAGGCAAACACTGAGCCACCTTCCCAGCCCTGTATATATAATTTTATATAATTTTTTTTTGTGGGACTTGAATTCAGGGCCTGGGCAACAGTCCCTGAACTCTTTTTTTGCACAAGGCTAGCATTCTACCACTTTCTAGCCACAGCTCCACTTCTAGTTCTTGATTGGTTAATTGGAGATAAGAATCTCATGGGGACTTTTCTACCCTGACTGGCTTTGATCTGTGATCCTCAGATCTTTGTTTTATGAGTGGAATCATGCTGCATGCATACTATTAGACCCATTTGTGTTGCAGCATTTTATTATAATTTATTTTCAGTGCTATGCAGTATTCCATTTTGATTTCACTTTGACACAGCCATCTGTTTTAGTGGAAACAATGGTTCTCATGCTGGTGCCAGGGACACAAGGAGACATCTGCATCATTGTGACAGGGTCATGGGGAAGCCTGGTGGTGGGAAGTCAGGGATGCTATTAACCATCCTACAAAGTCACCGCTGGCTGCTTCGAGCCATTAGTCTCAAAATATGAACAGTGCCATGTGTGAGGGGTGTATATTTCTTTTCTTTAAAAGAATGAGCTTCCTCATTAAAAAGAATTGTCTTATGTTTCCAGGATGTGTATGTTATTTATAACTTCCAGATTGGTGTGTCTGGAATGATATGTGAATCCTGTCACACACCTTGACTGGGCTCTCTGGGAGACCCAGGCTGAGCCAGGCACTCTGCTTTGGTGTGTGCTACTCTAAAGTAAAATGCGCATAGTTTGTAGTAATGTCTGCAGGGTCCACAGCACTTGATTCCACATTTCAGAATTTGGGACAGAGAACAATTACTAGATCAGCTGTGGTCAGAGGGAAAGTACCTGGTGGAAAGCAACAAAATTGGAGTGAGTCTACCTAGTTTTATGTTGTTTCATCTTGCTTTTGCTTTATTAAAAAGTGTTTCTTTAAGGGAGCAGGAATAACTGGTGTCTTGAAAAGTTACATTACAGAAAGTGGATACTCTTGACCAAAGTGGCTCCTGGGTAGCTAGGACTATGGGTGTGAGCCACCAGTGCTCAGTGTAAGAGAATAATTTTATTTATTTATTTATTTATTTTGGTCATGGGGCTTGAACTCTAGGCCTGGGCACTGTCCCTCAGCTTTTAAGCTTAAGGCTAGTGCTCTTCCACACATCACTACTTCTGGTTTTGAGTGGCTTATTAGAGATAAGAGTCTCACCGACTTACCAGCCCTGGCTGGCTTTGAACCTCAATCCTCAGCCTCCTAAGTAGCTAGGATTACAGGCGTGAGCTACCGGCACCGGCAAGAGAATTTTAAGCAATAATATTTGTAGTAATTTGTTATATCAGCCATGGTAGTGCACTCCTGTTTCTAGTTTTTTTTAGAACTGTTTACATTCCCCACTCCTAATATTTTCTATAATTTCTTTCTAGTAAGTTAATAATGTTAACAACAAAATAGCCAGCTATGGTGGCTAACGTCTGTAATCCTAGCTACAATAGAGATCAGGGGACTGCAGTTTGAGAAAAAAATGTTAACACCAACTGTCTGTCTCAACAAATAAGCCCAGTATGGTGACATGTGCAAACGTCCTAGCTAAGAGGGTGGCCTGCCTGCGTGGGAGTGTTCAAGGCTTAGTCCAGGTCACAGCATGTGGGAGTGCCCAAGGCTTAGTCCAGGTCAGAGTGCATGGGAGTGTCCAAGGCTTAGCCCAGGTCCTGGTGTGTGGGAGTCTCCAAGGCTTAGCCCAGGTTACAGTGTAAAACTATGTGAAAAATTAGTGAAGCAAAAGAAGGCTTGGGAGCCAGGCTCATGTGGTACAGCCCATTTGAGGCAAGTATGAATACTGCCAGTTATGGGAAAGACCTCTTGGCCTTTGTCTACTTTGAGATTAAATGCTTTAGAAAATTAAGTCTAAGTGGCATGGTGGCTCAAGTGGTAGAGCGCTTGCCTTGAGCTGAAGAGCACACGGACAGCGCCCAGGCCCAGAGTTCAAGCCCCACGACCGACCAAAAAAAAAAGAAAGAAAATTAAGTCTAGCTGGGTGCCCGTGGCTTATGGCTTTAATCCTAGCTACTCAGGAGGCTGAGATCTGAGATTCACGGTTTGAAGCCAGCTCAGGCAGAAAAGTCTGTGCCACCAGAAAACCAGAATTGACACTGTGGCTCAAGTGGTAGAGTGCTTGCCTTGAGCTGAAGAGCTGAGGGACAGCACCCGGGCCCAGAGTTTCAAGCCCCAAGACTGACCTCACCCCCCCAAAAAAAGAAAGAAAATTAAGTCTAATTAATGGGAAACCATAAATGATAGCTTAGAAAAGGCCAAGAATAGACACTCAAGCTGGGTACCAGTGGCTCACATCTGTAATCCTAGCTACTTAGAAGGCTGAGACCTGAGGATTGCGGTTCAAAGCCAGCCTGGCCAGGAAAATCTGTGAGACTCCTATCTCCAATTAACCACCAGGAAACCAGAAGTGGTGCTGTGGCTCAAAGTGGTATAGAGTGCTCGCCTTGAACAAAAGAGTTCAGGGACTGGGCCCAGGCCTGAAGTGCAAGCCCCATGACTGACAAAACAACAAACCCCAAACAAGACACTCATCCTCCCACTTCTTTACCCTTTATTGAACACAGACATCTGGTTTTTTTTTTTTTTGGGGTCCGGTCGTGGGGCCTGAACTCTGGGCCTGGGCGCTGTCCCTTAGCTTTTCAGCTCAAGGCTAGCGCTCTACCACTTGAGCCACAGCGCCACTTCCGGCTTTTTTTTTTTTTGCTTATGTGGTGCTGAGGAATCGAACCCAGGGCCTCTTGCATGCAAGGCAAGCGCTCTACCACTGAGCCATCTTCCCAGCCCTGAACACAGACATCTTTATGTCATGCACGAGTAACATAAAGCAAGTCTGAAAGCCTAAGAACGTAGTAGTTCCAGAGAGGCAGTACCAACTCATATGGAGATTGTGGGTTCAATTGATGACAGTGCCTATGTCCCGAGTTCTAGGAATCCATGTCCTTCTGTGGGTTTACTATTGTGTTACTCTCACAGGAGAGAAGTTGGCCTGAAGCTTTATGACATCAGGTAAACATGAATTGTGTAAATCTTAGAGAAGACACAAGGAAGGATAGAGTAATGAGGCTCTTTGCATGGTTAGCTATTTCTCTGACTCCAAGATAGGGGTGACTGGGGAGCACAATTGTGATAAAGTTCAGTATTGTATACTTTTTTAAAAATGTGATTTCTAGCTGGGCGCCAGTGGCTCATGCCTGTAATCCTAGCTACTCAGGAGGCTGAGATCTGAGGATTG